CTCATCTCCTCCCCGTGACCCTTCCATAAGGGGATGTCCAGTTGCCCACAGATGGGCTTTGGGTCCCCATTCCACACTCCCCCTCATTCACAATCATTTGATTTTTTGTTCTTTGATGCCTGATACCTGATCCCTTCAACACCTCATGATCGATCACACAGGCTGGTGTGCTTCCTCCATGTGGGCTTTGTGGCTTCTCAGTTAGATGGCCACTTGTGTATCTCCAAGCCTTTTAAGATCCTAGATGCTATATCTTTTGATAGCCAGGCTCCATCAGCTTTCTTCACCACATTTGCTTATGCTCCCACTTTGTTTTCAGTGATTGTGTCGGGAAAGTGAGCATCATGGAATGCCAGTTTAATAGAACAAAGTGTTCTTGCATTGAGGGAGTATTTGAGCGGAGGTCCAAGGTCCTTCTGCTACCTTAATACCAAACCTATAAATATACACACATAGATCTATTTCCCCATCCTTGCATATAAATATATTTACATATGTACGTGCCTGTATTTAGACCTCTATATGTCACCATATTTTTATGAATTCACCCACCAACTGTGCAAAAGGGGCATTTTGATTTAGCCCAAAATGTGACTACAAATGCCCATAAACTAAACAGTAAGAATTATGAAGATTCAGGATTACTTTTATTTAATGCTTAAAAATTGTACATTAAGTTACATGTACAATTCTCTTGTTTATTGATAATAGGGCCCTGTGAATTTTGATCAAAGCACACACCACGTAACCACAACTACCACGAAACGAGTTGAGTGAAGCAATATTCCTTCTTTCCATCTGACAAGGGATGGCAGTTCAGACAATGAGTGAGATGTGCTACCAAAGCTGTTAATGTGAGCCAGTGCTATCTATCTGCAGGGGACTGATTCTAGGAAACTACCTGTCACCACAGGCACCAAATTGCAGGGTGCTCAAGTCTCTTCTAGAAAACGGCACAGTAAACGGATAATCTATGCATATTACACCACCCTACGTTTGCATCTCTCTCAGACTCACTCTCACTACCATCACGTCGATTCTGACTCACAGTGACCCCACTTGCCCTTGTGGGTTTGAGATGAAATCTTTTGGAGCATGCAAAGCCTGATACTTCCATGAAGTCACACTCTCCTTTTCCTCTGGCAGAGAGCAAAGTACTTCAGTGCTGTTTCATTTCACAGAGGCAGTCACATCACAATTTCTGGTTTCTGGGGTAAATAGGTAGAGATTTGGGGTCTGAATGCCTCAGTAAGGAGTCATGGCCTCAGTTGAGTTCTCCAATCCAGCTTTTTTCAGAACTCTGCATTGGGTATCAATGGCTTACTGACCATTACTATACGAGTATATAGTTCATTTGTTCTTTCTGTTGCTAGCATTCCTTGTCTGTCACCTCCTCAATCAAAAATTACAGAGAGATAAAGAGTAAGTGGTAGGAAAAGAACCACATTATCCCTAAGACATCTTGTGTTCAATTCTGTGACCAAGTGGATTTTTGGGGGCTAGGGCAATTATGTTAAACTCTACTCCGTCGCAAAGTGATATGCTCCATTTATGGGGCTAATGGGTGGCTAGGCAGGAAGGGGCATTAGAGGCCTTCCTAGTACAGTGTGGATGAGTGTGTGTATGTGCGAGCGTGTGCGTATGTATGCACATGCTTGTACGCAAATTTGCATTACTGCTCATATCAACTACTGAGAAATTTACAAAGCGGTGAAACACTGAAAATATAAAGCAATATTTAAGTTGACAGAAAGGATAAATTGCATTTCTATAGAACTGGGTTTAAAAAATTGTGTTAAAGAAACTATTTGGCAAGTCAGTGTTTTATTAACACGAGAAGGACAATTCTAAGATAAAGCTCAACCAAGGGAACAAACAGTTAAGATCTTTTGGAAATCTCTACCAGTATCAGCAATATCTAACATTTAGAGAAGAGTGTACGAGACAGTATCTGCGCAAAAAGAACCTATAGTTCAAGAATTATGGTATCTACAAAGGAAATACACTAAATACCAAAGAAGGATTCAGAAATAGCTAAGTGATGACATTTAGAGGAAGAAGTAATCCAAGGCTTGAGGTACTGAGGATGGTGCTGAAGTTGGAGAAAATAATCCTAACACTACAAACTAGAAATAGAGGAACAGGACAAACAGAAGAGAAAGATGGTGTCACTAGGGAACAGGTCTAAGCACACACCATGCAGGTTTGGTCAATCGAGTTTCGCGGAAGTGGAAAACATGTGACATGACACACTTTCAGGTGAGGCTGAAAAAGAGTGTGGATTGGGGCCAGATGATGTGGAGGCAAGTGATGAATTATATGTAAGTAAATCAAGTGGAAGGTTTTGATTTCCGAAGGAAGCCACATTTTCAGAAGTGATAGCAGGTCTCTAATGAAGTGGATTAGCGCTCAATGGAACAGAGATAGAGACTACGGAACTTGTCCAAGGAAATGATGAGGCAATGATGAGTTGGTAAGATACCAGCATATGTCTTACAATTATGACACGTTAGGCTTGCTATAAATAATTTTTTGATTAAAAAAAATCTCTGAAATTGGGTTTATTTTACAATTGGAAAAAAAACTCTCATGACTGTGGTAACCAGTTTAAATTCTAGTACCTAATTCATGCGGCAACTCGTGGCAGAAGACAGCTATGGAAGTACTGATGCCTCCAGTCAATCCAGCACTGAAAGCTGCTCCTAGGAAGGAAAAATATCACGGGGCATTTACTGGTTTTGGGCTTTTCATTTTGATTAATGATGACAAATACAGTCTCTCATTTATCTAAATTAGTGTCTGAATATATTATTTGTTACTATATTTGCTTATCTTAGATTCTAGTTTCTGAACATCTAGCAAAGGATAAGTAGTATGAGACAATTTGAGAAAGAGCTACTTCAAAGAAAAACCACCCCCCGCCAGTCTCCCCACTGAAGTGGTTCCTCACTTGCGTAACCTTCCGATTCACTCACAGCATGGAAGCAGTAACTGTTTCTAATACGCGACTATACATCTTATAAGTCTATGCTTTTGTTCGCTTTCATATTTTTGTTTATAGGTATAAACAGTACAAAGTATACGCTCATAAACTCTGAGCTTAACTTGAACTCAGAGGCAAATATGTGTCTGACTAAACTAATAAGAGAGGGCATATTCTTTACTGTGGTTCAGAACTGTGCTCTGATCTCTGAGAGATATTAAAGATTGCTTCTAATGATTAATAGTATCTCATATAAAATCATGCATTGATCACATTTAATATTCTCCTGGTAAGTTTACATTAGGGGAAATTCTAATAAAATATACTTTAACTCGGGATAATGGATCTCTAACATTATAGTTTTTAATCACCTTTTCAAAAATGGTGAAACTAACTAAACCCAAGGTTAAAATTAACCTGTTCTCACTCAGGGATGTATAAATATGTCTAAAACATACACACCCTAAGGTGGTCTTTGCACTGGGGCGGCACTGTGTTTTGAATAAGCAGCAAGTTACTACAGAAGCAAAGACCGGCACATTTGTTCCTATGTTCCACAAAACCACTGACATCACCCCTTTATGCCCCCAGTAAATCTATCAAACTCATCAGCACAGCTTTTGGAAACAAGCAAACAGGAATGATGTATGAGATGAGCTTAAGAGTTAAGTGCCAAACTTTGATCTTACATATTACAAGTAAGATTAGTGCACACACTGAAGACTAGGTCTTAGAGAACAACGAATAATCCAATTTTCAAGTCCACTTACCAATTGCTAACCCATCACTGAAGTTGTGAATGCCATCCCCCATGATGACCATCCACGCTATGTTAGCTATTCCTGTTTCTTTCAGCTCTGATCCAGAATGACACGGGCCATGGGAGTGATGGGGATGCTTGTGGTGCCACTGATGGGGATGCTTCTTCAGCGCAGCCTCACTCTCTTCGTGGTGGTTATGTGTGGTCACATGGAGATCATGCTCACGAACGCTGTGCAGCCCATCAGTGTGAGAATGGTCCCGGGCTTTCTCCTCTTCCACACCAAGGTAATTTTTAGGAGGGGATTCTTGTTGACCTTCCAAATCTGTCAGTTCAGTTTCATTAAGTCGATCTTCAGAAACAACCGAGTCATCAGTTCCTATATTTATAGCAAAGGATATGCTTCATCAACAAGTAAACGCATGCACGTTTGCTAATTTAACCCAGGCAGAAGAGCAGTATAACGAACATTTCTTAAGTGATTATCTTTTAAAAACTCTTAATATATTTCCCTCAGAAATATCTTAGAAGTCATTCCAAAACAATGTCCTTTGAATTCCAATAAAAGAAAACAAGCATGTACACACACATGAAACAAAATTGGATCTCTGAGGTCCGAACGATACTGTGAATGAAGGAACCAGGAGGGAAATAAGATCACAGCAGGCAAAGTGAGGAGAACATTAGAAAGCATGGAGATACTGTAAAACTAAAGGAGCACATCATATAACCGTTGAAAACCAAAGATGAAAATTACTATAGAATTTACAGGAAAACAAAATAAAGCCCATTTTTCAGACAAAGAAGGAATCTTAGAGTCGATCTACGTCATTTAAGAAAACAAAAGCATATAACATTTAAATGAGTTGCCCAATGCCACACAAGGATGACAACTCTCTCTCAGTGCCCAACAGATGCTACACAACTCTCCTCAGAGATCATAGCTAAAAGGAAGCTCAGAGGTCCACGTGACAAAAACAAAAGTGTGCTCTCTTAAAAGATGAGGTTGGCCTCTCTCCTAGTGTTCCAAGAAATCTTCCAAAGTAATTCAGTATGACAAAGATGACATTTATATTTTGAGGCACAGTTCTACAGTTAAAATTCTAAACTGCCTCTTTTCTGCATAAAATCATTGGTACACTGAAGGGAAGCACAAGTTCAAACAGAAAGAATTGAAATAAGTAAGTCAAGAATACCTTTTCACGTTACCCAGAAAAGTGCAAGCTACCTCATTGTATCTATCAAGCAACAGAATAAACGGGTGAGCAGATTTTGAGTGCCGAGAGGTGATGAAACAAGGTCGGCTTCCCTTTCCCCAGACGAAGTAAGTCAGCAGATGAAGGACAGTGTTTGCACAGTAAAACTAACACTCATCACAACTTAGACAGTCTTCATCCACTAATTAACTCATTCCTTTGCACAGAAGTGCAAAATACTTCTTGATGTGTAACACAGTTAACTGTTTTTGCATTGCAGCAATCAATAAGGCTGAAACTACAAAAACATTAAAAATAAAATTATGACTAAGAGACTCTATATTACAAGTTAGAAACACTAGTTAGAGAAACCACGAGACATTTCAAATGACATAGGCATATTGAGATATTTGAATTTTTATGTTTTAAAAATCTATCGTTAGTCAGAAATGCTGTCTACCGGCAAGAGGCTTGAGCTGGAGCCAGTCAGTCTCTGGGATTTTATTTAACTTATGGTCTGAAAGCTTCCTTCCAATAGCTGATTCTTCTGTACTCTGCTTCTGACACCATTTCTGTGTTCCCTGCAATAAACATCGGATGTTAGTATAAAATTATAACCACAATTAGCAAACTAGTAATATTCATGACATTATGCATGTTAAATTATGCAGAAAAGGGGTGAGAAATGTTTTAAGAACTCACTCAAGGAGTCTGACTGGATGAAAACTCCAGGTAAATTTGAATGGTATTTGCATTTTTTGAACACACAGCTAAAAGTTCAATTCATCTACATGCTTCCAAATCAACAATAGGGTACATGGTACTGTACTACATAGCAGAGCTTTGAACCAATTCTTCTCCGTTTCCTCATGGTCATGAAGTAAAGCCAGCATGGACCCAAGTTCGTAAAATGTGGGTGAACTAGAACAGTCACTGTATTGGGAAAGATTTTTGGGTTGACATTCTTCTAGAAACACAATCTTTTAAGAAAACAAGGAGAACATGACCATTGCACAACAACCAAATCTCCTGACTGGCAGAGTTGGGGATAACAAGGCCCCGCATAAAGTTGATGACCATTCAAAGATGATGGCCAAGTTTGAGAGTGTGCTGGTACACACAGCATGGCCACACTTCACAGGTTCAGGTCTGCTCTGATTTTTGTGTATGCACCAGTTCAAGCCAGTTTGAAGCCCTGTATTATAACCACTCAATGAAATACATATAATTAGTACTTATTAAATAGTAAAAGGAAACAGGAAGTTCCAAAAGCTAATCTTATTTTCAATATCATTCTGTACTTAATACATTTTCTGAATGTGGCAAAATGGAAGAAGTAAAACAAGGTAGAATCCCAAACTTGTAGCTTACTTCTGAGACTCAGACATTTGTGAAACTTGATTACACAAAATATCCATCCATAAAATGAAAATGGCAGATTCGAATGAGGATTAAATGAGATGATACATAGAAGTGGTCTATTCCTTAATAGCTTTTCATTAAAGTCTAGTTTGCTCATCATGTCTTAATCAGAGAATGAACATAATTTAACCTGTCCTTACTTACTAATCATAAGTGGTTATTAAGGATCGAGGAATTAGCAATAGTACAGTCTGTACAGGGACTGAGGACTAAAGAAGAAAGTCTCAACACCAGCTAGGATTTTGCTTACTTACTTACCGGCACTTTGGTTCTGATTTTTCACTTTCTTCAAAACGTGCTACATCGCTATTCCGTCTCCCAGTTGCTGAAACCCTGTCAAGATGTCCATTCTACACGAACCACTAATTCCTGTCCTTCACATACCTTGCTGCTCATTTTAGGGCACTTCGTGTCCTTTTCATCATTAAGATGTACATATTGATTAATCTGGCCAGATTCCTTTTTATTTCAATTTTTTTATATCCCACAATTTTATATTTTATGGTAAAACCTACCACATTTTGAAGACCTCTTTCTACTACATCAGTTTTGAAAAAAAATTTTTTTTAATATTGCCAATAAATTTAAATTCAATTAAGATCAAAACGAGATTAACTTCCTAAAAACCATAAACTTGAACTTCTCCTGAAATACGGATCTTTTCTTAGACTGTTTAAATGTTATTAAATGCATGATTTAAAAAATTAGGGCTGTACAGTAGCTCTAAACTGTCTTGATATACATTGTAAAATGTAATAGATTGTGTTCTCAGCTTGGGTACAGAAATGGACTCTTACTTATCTTTCTCAAGTCCTCTTATCAATTTTTGCATCTAAATAATTCCAATAATCACCTTCTTGTCCCCAAGTCTTATGCTACCACCCGAGTTTAAGCTGCTAGCACCTTTCTGCTATACTACTCTGTAGTCCTCTCCGGAACGGACTATTTCCCACCCGATACCTTGGCATCCATCCCACTCCACTGTTCTTCATTCATCCATCTGAATTAACTACTTGATCCTCTCCACAACCCTTTAAACAACAGATGCTACTACCGTCTCTCTGATTTTTCTCCAAGTTGAACCTTCTCAGTTCCTTTTATCATTTCTCAAATGAAACTTCACTAGGCTGGAAATCTTGGTAACAATTTTCCCATTTAAAAGAAACCAGAGAGGTTGAGGCCCTGATTAAATTATGAGAATTAAAATTAAATACACTACTCACACACAATATGATATGAAAATACAGGTGATAATTAAGACTTATTGTCTATGATGTAGCTAGGTACTGGGAATCCTGGAGAAGGGGTCTTGGTCACATAGTTTGTAGGTGAGTGAAATCTGGAATACATCCATTTCGTTTCAAGGGACATACACAAAACATACAGATGGAAACTCAAAAACAGCATGAGCTGTATCTTAACTGTAAACAGTAGAGTCCATGACTATTCAGAATTTTTAAGGGAGGGGGGAAAAAGATACTTGCCTTTACAAATTGTAAGATGGTTTTCAATGTTAACTGTTTTTTATGGGAAATTTCTCAAAATGTTCTTTAAGTTCACTATCTTAAGCACAGGACACTCAAAATAATTTGATCTTCCTGTGATGAGTCAGAAACATCACAACATGTTACTGAGTTGTACTAAAGAGAGTTTCAGAGGCAAGTGAGTAAGGAGAAGTCTGCGCTACAATGAATGATTGTGTCCTTGAAATTGCTTTTTTGGAGATAACTCTCTTTAAATGAGGCACAAAATACAAACTGCTGCATAATCTTAAGGTATGTAGTGAACAGTTCAAGCACCATCTCCCAAATGGTCAGTCACTATGAATAATGATCACAAGGCCCCCTTAACCTGATCTTTAGTAATTCTACCATTCTCAAGGCATTGCTGAAAAAGAATTAGGGTGCATAAACATATTCTCACTAAAAGGTATTACACTGAAAGTCACACGGTGAAAATATTATCCAAAAATATTGATGAGATTTGCCTCTGCTTATGTTTATGCTGTTTACAAGAGGCATACATTGGCCAATAGCTTTTCTAGTTTATATAAATCAATGAGGCAATATGCAACACAATTTAACTGAGACCCACAGTGATCTATCTTGATTATGAATGTCAAACTAACTCTGGTGACATAAAATGGCAAACACCAGAGTCAGGTTTTTGCTGTATGACCTGTGAAACAGGAAGAGATGTAACACACACCAAACCAATCATTAAGACTAGCAGATGGAGAGAAAAAGATGATCCTTGCTTTGAATTTTACATTTCAGAAAATGAAATAAAAACTTTAAAAACTTACTCTTTGTTTGTAGTGCTTAAACATTCGAAGGCAGTGTTCAATGATAAATAGCAAATAAATGCCTCCTAGAGCCACAAGTCCTTTCAACACAGCATCATATTCTTCCAAGAACTTCTTAGATTCGTGCCCATGAGAATGTCCATGCCCATGAGAATGTCCGTGCCCATGAGAATGTCCGTGCCCATGAGCATGTGAATGGCTGTGATCATGTCCACCTTGAGACTATTAATAAGAAGAGAGCATTTTAAACAAGTCATTGTAATGCTAGTTTTAAAACTGAGATTATAATCTCCTGACAGACAAAAGTAAAGTAACTTTTCTCCTTAAAAATAATTTCTTAGAAGCTTCCCTGTTGAAGATCGAAGGAATGAATCTGACGTTAACAGTTAAAACTTTGTCAGTTTAAAAAAAAAAAAATCTTTGTCAGTAGATAGCCCCTATGATGCTGGCTGGATCTTGTCTGGTTTCCAAAATTCTCTGTATTTTCGGTTTGTATTGTTTTCTTCGGTTTTTGTTTGTTCACATTAGAGTGGATCTCAGAGGTGTTATGTCACTGGAGGTCCCCCTCTTGAAGCTGTGTTACTTGCTTTTCCGTTTTTCGGTATGTGAAACCTAGGATCAATGAACCTAGAGGGACAGCAAGTAGAATAGGGGTTTGCGGGGAAGGGGGTACAGTGGTGGAAGGAGGGTACAAGGGAAACGATGTCAAGGGGTCCATGTAGAAAGGGAATGTTTGGAAACTGGTGTAGAAACTGTACATCCTACTTGATGTGACTGAAATATGGAATGATATATGTATTAAATCCCAACTAATTAAAAAAAAAAGGTTCCCTAAATATTGCCCCACTTAAAGATACATAGTCTTCCTCTTCATGACTCAGTGGCCTAAAAGTATTATATTCCACAGTAACTCTAAGACAAAGCCCACATTGAAATTCCTACAAAGTTAAGGTATGTATCACAGGGAATGATAGAAACCTTAGTCACTGGAATGAGTATGACACAGATAAATGACTAAGCACTTAGTCAAAAACAGAACACCAAACCAATTCATCTGCAAGTTATCACTTGTGTCGTTCCTCTTTACATGTGTAGAAGATTCTGCTCATAAATTATTTCAGGGTGGTGATGAGATGCTAGCTCTACATGGACTGTAGATAGTAGTAGGAGGACATACTTAAATATGTGCATAATTTTCTACATCGTAAACTTAAAGAATTGCTTTGACCACTCTTTTATTCCCCCTGAATATTTTCATCTGCGGTTGTTTGGCTCCTCAGACGAGGAACTCTGCTGCAAAGGTCGACTCTGCAACCGCCGTTCCTGCTCACGCACAGACGCCAGCGGCATGGTGGCTACAGGCACCATCATTACAGGAGACCCGACACACCTTTCTCTTCTAAAGGCGTTCTTGATACGTCACACAGATAAAAGGATGCATCATTCATAGACTTTTTCTGTTGTTGTGCAATTTCATTCCCTTTAAAGTAATACGCTGTCAACTCACAACAAAAATTTATACACATTTTGACTCAGTACATTGATTGTAATTCCTACAATGTAACAAGCCTCTACCTACTTCCTGTGTTATTGTTTCCATTTCTCCTTTCCTGCCTTCTGAACTCTTTGGGGGCAAATGCTGCTCATTTTGGTTTCATATATTTGATTATCCTGAGGAGAACATTCTCAGAAGTATTACTGTTCACTTTATATGCCTATTATTTGGCCGAAGTTATCCTAGAGAGAGGGTTCAGATCCGGGGACAAGCGGTGTCTAAGAGCCATAGCCCTGGGGGCTACCAGTCTTTCTGAGATTAGCAAGTCTGATCTCTTCTATGACTTTCATTCTCATTCCATTTACCTACGGCTCCTACTCTGACGAGGGCCTTCTACTGTGATCCTGCTCAGAGTGGTCACTGCTGATAGCTGACCATCATCTGGTTCTTCTAGTTCAGGAGGATATGGTTCAAATGGACCATTAGTCTTTTTGACTAATTATTTTCCTGAATCTTTGGTTTTCCAGAGAAATCAACAGTCACATCTTAAATGGATGCTTTTAACTTTAAGATGCTAGTCACCACTCACAAAGTAGCATGTAAAGCATTGTCTTTGTGGGCAATTCTTATTCCAGTTGAACTTGGTGTCCCCAAAAGCTATGGCCCTGAGCCCGTGACTCATTCCCTCAAGATGTTTGATTATGGCTAAGATGTTTTCATAACTTTTATCCCCTATATAGCCACATTCATGAATATATTACATATAAGTATTCATTTTCAGAACTGCTATAGTAGCACATTTTATCCAATGAGCATTTACGAAGAGTGGTGTGACATAAGCAGTCAATTGATTTAACATCTGTTATTAAGATTGTGAAAATAGAAAAATAAAATACTTCATCAGATTCATGTGTCACATCTTTCTAATGAAGAACTCTTTTCAGCTTAGTTTTTTAAAACTTAAAAAAAAATGGAAAGTTTTTCTTACATGGGGCAGTAGATGAAGAAGGGCATCCCCACTCATCGTACCTACAGCTAGTGCCACAAGGAATGTGAGAAGGAACTTGAAGCATCCTTGGTTAATGATGGGGACCAAGATCACGCCTAGCAAGGAGAGCAGGCTAATGACAGTGATAGAAATGATACCACAAATCCAAGCTGTAGAAAAACAGAAACAGTTGACATTAGTATGACAATATAAACAAATATACAATAACAAAGCTCCACAGAGTAAACAAAAGACAACCATCACCAGGGCTCCCTAAATGAGCCAGTGAAGACATGCTCCTTGAGCAGCTTTATATAAATGCTGTTCTAAGGAAACAAACTCATGCTCATAATGTAATTTGACCATTTCAATAAAGACCAAGAAAAACAGATCAAATTAGACATGGTACCTTCGGTGGCACACCATATTAGTAAGTGACCTAAATGACTGTCATTTACTTTTATATCCAGACTACAAATATTTTTCCCAATGTCTACAGGCAGAGCCACAGAATTAGAACTCTTTATTTAAAAGAATATAATTACAAAGTCTATTCCTAGCATCAAAGAAACACAAAAATCTAATGCATTATGATCACTGTCAAACTTTGTAACTGAAGTTTGTAAGAATTTTACAAAGTAACCCAAATTTGAAGTACATTCACACGTGGGAGCATTACTGATCACTTCAATGTTTCATTTCTTATTTTTACAAAGAATACTTTTCTATTTCTCATGAAAACTTCTCCAAATTTACTCTCCTTCAGTTTGACCTATACCATCTGCTATCTTTTAAATTCAGTACATAATTACAAGTGATTCACAACTCAAAAGAAATGTTTACACACTTTGACTTGTGAGAAGCAGAAATATGATGGGGAAAGGGAAAATCCTGAGCACTGTTCTTATTCCAGGGCATCCATAGCAGATAAACTACCAGAAACAAATGAGGGGGAAAGAGGGACACTCTTGTTTAGAATATGAAATTACTTTCATGTGAATAGCCTAAAATAGAAAAGTTAGTAATTCAAAACATTTTTTAAAAAATCACTTTATTGAGGGCTCATACAGCTGTTATTACTATCCATACATACACCCATTGTGTCAAGCACATCTGTACATTTGTTGCCATCATTATTCTCAAAACATTTTCTTTCTACTTGAGCCCTTGTTATCAGCTCATTTTTCCCTCCCTCTCCCTCCCTCACTAACCCTTGATAATTTATAAATTATTATTATTTTGTCTTGTCTTACACTGTCCGATGTCTCCCTTCACCCACTTTTCTGTTGTCCACCCCCCAGGGAGGGGGTTATATGTAGATCCTTGTGACCAATTCCCCCTTTCTACCCCACATTCCCCTTCCCCTCCTGGTATCACTATTCTCATTATTGGTCCTGAGGGGTTATCTGTCCTGGATTCCCTGTGTTTCCAGCTTTTATCTGTACCAGTGTACATCCTCTGGTCTAGCGACGTCTCTTACTGTCCCATAGCCCTATGGGGGACAACACTGAAGACAGTGTGGGAATTGGCCCGATCTGACCCCACCACACTGTGGTGCTACACTAATTCAAAACATTCTTATTGGAATGTGGATGAACAGAAAAATGTACTGGAGAGTGCCAATTTTGTAAAGGTTTTAATTGAAAGTGCTTTATTCCTAATCAAATTTGAAAACACTATACACTTGCTAAAAGATGCAATATTAAGTTGTAGGAAATGAGACCAAAGGCAAACTACATCTAACTATCAGGATAATTTAAAATGTTCAAAGACAAGCAGAAGATAAGGAAATGAAACTTAAAATAACTCACCAAATGATGAAATTTATCAATAAAATTGTATTTATCCAGTGGACATGCTAGTCTAATATTAAACACTAATACTGTAGCTAATTCCTCATGGCCTTCAAGGATGGGAGAAACCCTGGTGGTGTGGGGGTTACAGTTGGGCCACTCATCATAGGGTCAGCAGTTCTAAACCACCAGCTGCTCCCTCAGCTACAGGCATTCACAGGTGCATGGGAATTGAGGAGGCCGAGAATGAGTGAGTCCTTGGCCCCACGGGCTAGGATGGAATGAGACACTAGGGCAGAAAGCAGAGCAGTCTTGGGGGCAAGTGTTCAGAGAAGGAGTTTGTAAAGCACTTAGAGTGAGACTGGTTAAATGTCTAAGAGGTATAGAGTCTCAAAGTCATATCTGTTCAATTCCGTTTACCTAGCTGAGCCCTAATTTCTATTTTCAAGCAATGCTTCACTCATCATCTTATAAATGCAACCTCATGTGAATATTGTGAATTTAAAAAACAAAAAAATCCCTGAAATGGAATAACCAGATCAAATGGTATTTTTGTTTTCCAGTTTTAATTCTCAGTTATGATGTGTAAAGAAGCAGTCTAAATTATAATTGTTTTTGCATATTTAGTTTTAAAGGCAGGCTATTGAGTAGAAATATATGATGGAATGTTTTAACTTCTCAGGAGAATGGTAGATTAAAGAAGATTCTGTAAGCCTAATATTAAATATAAAAAAGAAAATGATGAGAATAGAAGAAGCGTCTCAGAAGCCCAAAGGCACAGTCCTGCCCTGTTCTGAAGGGTCGCTACGGTTGGCATCACCCCCACGGCCGTGAGTCCAAGGTGGAGTGAGAAGAGCAGAGAGAGACAAAGTGGTTCTCATCAAATGGACACAGGCTCATAGGAGAAACACTGCCAGAATATAAAATGCCTCTTAGACAGGAAAATATCCATCTGAAGGAAAAATTATATTTTCCCTTAATTTTACGATAAGCCAATGTAGGAATAATTTAAATCAGTCAATGCACCATGAGATTTCAAAAAGGCAGTAATTTGATACTTAAGTACTCTGTAGGAAAAATAACAACTGTGTATGTGCAGTAATTTAACATATGTGTACAGGAGTCACCAAAGCTACACATAAGACTGAAAACATAAAATTATGCAGAGTAAACACATTGGATAACCTTTTAACTATTAGCAAGTGCTTACTATTAAAATTGTTTTGATCCAAAGTGTAATAGAACCTTTATTTTACCCAAAAGTCTGTATTGCATTTTTTTTTTTTTTTTGGTAATGCATTGCTAGGCCAGTGTCCAAGAAAATTCATATAATCAGGCTAAGATGTTGAATAAAGAATCCATATCACCTAAAATCTACTTCAGTAAATCTTATTAGTCTGATTTGTTCTTTTTTCCTAGTATTATTTATAATCAACACTACAAAATATATCTTCATTTGTTTCTGGATTAGCCTATTAAGGCATGTGCAAAAGAAATGAAATTTCTGTATCTTAATATAGACAGTACCATTAATACAGCATACATTTAAAATAATAACTTACATAATTTAACAGGCCAATAACATATTAATGTTAAAATATGCTTTTTATATTTTTCCTATATTAAAAATAATGAAATATAAATCCCTATTAAAATATATAACTATAATTATTAAAAACTAGTCACTAAAGAAAAATGTAATTAAATTGTTAATAATTTAAACTATTATTTGAAAATAAATTAAGTTCAACTAATTATTTTCTTTACAGAATTCTCATAATTTTAACTTCTAGCTAAGGGTATTTTAGGGGTCCTGGTGGTATAGTGGTTACAATTTGGGCTGCTAACTGCAAGGTCAGAAGTTTGAAACCACCAGTGGTTCTTGGGGCAAAGAGGGCCTTCTACTCCCATCAAGATTCACCGTCTCAAAATCCCACAGGGCGAGTTCCACCCCGTCGATGGGGTCGCTATTCGCTGCATTGACGTGATGGCCAATGAGTGAGTTAAGGGTGTTTACAATGTGAGGAAAGATTCAACAAAGGTTACATAAACATAATCATTTTTCTACGTTCTGGGAGGAGAGTTCACAATCTCAAATTACTTTAGATCAATCCACCAAAAATTAAGTCACTAAATGGTAAGTTGACCAAAATTCACTTGGATGAAAATCAACCTGTCAAAATGTCAGCTAATGAACTAAATCTGGATATGAAATTAATTAGACCAGTGTTTACATGTGTAGTCAGGGAAGAGAATCTGTGTGTAGCCAGGTTTGTGAATTCATAGGTGCACATACAGGTACATATTATGACACATTTCCAGGGACAGAATCCTTAAGTATCGGCTGTCATAACTATATCCTTTTTCTTGACTGCTAGAGAAAGCCAATCTGTGAAGTAAAATAAGAAATGCTTTGAAGCATACCTCGTGATTAGACAATCTTTGGGACTTGTGATATTTAACGTAAATTCAAACCACGAGGAAACAGAATCCCACAAAGGAGAAGAGACCCTTCATCAGTCTAAGGCCTTAACATTGCCCAACTCCAGAGAACAGCATTTGCACTGCGTGTTTGGGAGGGCCATGTGTTTAGAATACAAGTTGAATGATACTCCTTGGAATTGTTCAATGAACCATTATTACATCAAATTTGAAAAGCTGCCTTTTAAAAATGAGTATGAAATATGCATATATTATTTATATACATGTGGATGTGTTAAAAATTGATGTTGTTGATCATATAGTGATATGACTGTCAATAAATTGGTTATTGAACAACAAAAATTTCAAAGTTTTAAAAGTGGGGTGGGGATTCCAGAACACTAAAATTGGGGTCATATAGAATCTGTATAAACAAAACCAAGGGACAACACATGGGTTAAAATCATGCCAAGTGTATATCAGGGCTGCATTCCTTCGTCATACTTATTCAATTCTGTATGCTGAGGGAAAAAATCCAAAAAACTGGACCATCCAAATTGGACAAAGACTCACTAACAACCTGTGATATGCAGTGATACAATCTTGTTTGCTCTGAAAGGGAATGGGGCTTGAAGTTTTACATATCAGAGACTATAGTACAGATTACACATTAAGAAAACAAGGTCCCTAACAACTGGATTTATAAGCAACATCATGATAGATAGAGAAAAGAATAACTTTGTCAAGGGTTTCATTTTACTTATATCCACAATCCACGAGTTCACAGCCATGGGCAAATCTACTGCAAAACATCTCTTTTAAGGTGTTCAAAATGAAAGAGGTAATTTTGAGAACTAAAATGTGCCTGACCCAAGCCAGGGTAATTTCAATCACCTTATATGTATGTAGAAGCTGGACAACGAATAAAGAAGACTGTAGAAGAATGCCTTTGAATT